AATCATGAAGAAATAGGAAATCTGAATAGACTACTTACTAGTAATGAAATTGAGTTAGTAATTAAAAAAAAAAAAACCACACACACACACACACACACACACACACACACACAGTCTCCTAACAAAAGTCCAGGGCCAGATGGCACCTTAGGTAAATTCTACCAAACATTTAAAAGAGCTAATATCTGTCCTTCTCAAATTATTCCAGGAAATAAAAGAAGAAGGGATGCTCCCAAACTCATTCTATGAAGACAGCATTACCCTGATACCAAAACCAGACAAAGATAACACAAAAGAAGAAAATTAAAGGTCAATATCCCCGGTGAACACATATGTAAAAATCCTCAACAAAATATAAGCAAATCAAATTCAGCAACACATTAAAAGGATCATATACCACAAGCAAGAAGGATTTATTCCAGGGATACAAAGATGGTTTGACATACACAAATTAATCAGTGTGATAAACCATATCAACAAAATGAAGAATAAAAATCATATGATCATCTTGATAGATGCAGAAAAAGCATTCAACAAAATTCAACATCTATTTATGATAAAAACTCTCAACAGAGTATAGTAGTAACGTACCTCAATATAATAAAGATCATATATGACAAACCCATAGCTAATATACTCAATGGTGAAAAGCTAAAAGCATTTTCTCTAAGATCAAGACAAGAATGCCCATTCTCATGACTTTTATACAACATAGTACTAGAAGTCCTAGTTATGGCAATTAGACTGAAAAAGAAAAGGCATCCAAATTGGAAAGGAAGAAGTAAAACTGTCACTATTTGCAGATGACATGACAGTATATACAGAAAACCCTAAAGACTCGACCAAACTATTAGAACTAATAAATGAATTCAGTATACTTGCAGCTTGCAACAATATGCATAAATTTGTTGCATTTCTGTACACTAGGAATAAACTATGAGAAGGAGAAATTAAGAAAATAATCTTATTTACAATTGCATCAAAAATAATAAAATATCTAGGAATAAATTTAAACAAGGGGTTAAACACCTGTACTCTGAAAACTGTAACACATTGATGAAAGAAACTGGAAACAAATATGTGGAAAGATATACAATGTGTATGAACTGGAAGAACTAATACTGGTCAAATGTCCTATATTACCTAAAGCAATTTATAGATTCAATTCAATCCCTATCAAAATATCAAGGACATTTTTCAGAGCAAAAAATAATAAAATTTGTATGGAACCATAAAAGATCCTGAATACCTACTCAAAGCAATCCTGAGAAAGAAGAACAAAGATGGAGGAATCACAACCATATTTCAAACTATACTATAAGCTCACGGTAATCAAACAGTATTGGACTGGCACAAAACCAGATACATAGATCAACAGAACAGACTAGAGAGCCTAGAAATAAATCCATGCTTATATGGTCAATTAATCTATGACAAAGAAGTCAAGGATATATAATAGAAAAAAAAGAATCTCTTCGTAAATGGTTTTGGAAAAACTGGAAAGCCACATGCAAAAAGAATGAAACTGGACTTCTTTCTTACACCATACACAAAAATAAACTCAAAAGAGATTAAAGTCCTAAAGGTAAAACCTGAAACCGTAACTCCTAGAAGAAAACACAGGCAGTAAGTTCTTTGACACTGATCTTAGCAATATTATTTTGAATCTGTCCCTTCAGACAAGAGCAACAGCAAAAATAAACAAATGGGGCTACATCAAGCTAAAAAGTTTTTAAACAGTAAAGAAAATGATAAACAAAACAAAAAGGCAACATACTGAACAGAAGCAGGTATTTGCAAATGATATATATAATTAAAGGTTAATATCTCTCTCTATAAAAAACTCATACAACTCAATATTAAGGAAACAATCTGATTAAAGAATGGGCAGAGGACTTGAATAGACATTTCTCCAAAGACATACAGATGGCCAACAGGCACATGAAAAAATGTTCAACATTACTAATTATCAGGGAAATGCAAATCAAAACCACAAAGAGATTACCTAACAGCTGTAAGAATGGCTATTATTGAAAAGATAAGAAATAATAAATGTTGGTGAGGATGTAGAGAAAAGGGAACTCTTGTTCACTGTTGGTGGGAATGTAAATTGATATAGCAACTATGGAAGATACTATGGAGATTCCTTTAAAAAACTAAAAATAGAACTACCATATGACCCAGGAATTACACTTCTGGTTATTTATCTATAGAAAGCAAAAAGACTAACTTGAAAAGATACAGGCACTCCTATGTTCATCACAGCATCACTTACAATAGCCAAATTTGGAAGCAAACCAAGTGTCCATAGATAGATGAATGAATAAGGAAGATGTGGTATGTATGTATTTGTGTGTGTGTAAATGTATGTAGGTGTGTAGATAAACACATACACACACCCCTTCATGCCCTTTTTTAGTTCTAAAAAAAGAATGAAATCTTGCCATTTACAACATGGATAGACCCAGAGGTATTATGGTAAGTGAAATAAATCAGACAGAAATAGGCAAATATCTTATGATTTCAATTACGTGTGGAATCTAAGAAGGAAAACAAACAAAACAGAAATAGACTCAAATACATTGATGGCTGCTAGAGCAGAGGGAAGGTGGAGGGATAGAGGAAAGAGGTGAGGGGGATTAAGAGGTACAGTCATGAGTTATAAAATAAATAACACATGGGGATGAAATGCACAGCATAAGGAAAATAGTCAATAACATTTTAAAATCTTTACATGGTGACAGAAGGTAACTAGACTTATTGCTGCGATCATTTTGTAATGTATATAAATACTGAATCACTATGTTATACACCTGAAATTAATATAATATTGCATATCAATTAAATCTCAATGAAAAAAATGAGCTGTTCCAGTCTATTCAAAATTCTAGGGGGATGCCTGGGTGGCGCAGCGGTTTGGCGCCTGCCTTTGGCCCAGGGCGCGATCCTGGAGACCCGGGATCGAGTCCCGCGTCGGGCTCCCGGTGCATGGAGCCTGCTTCTCCCTCTGCCTGTGTCTCTGCCTCTCTCTCTCTCTCTCTCTCTGTATGACTATTGTAAATAAATAAATAAAAATTAAAAAAAAAAAAAAACAAAAAAAAACAAAATTCTAGGGGAAAATGATTTCAAAAGATCAACTTTTAAATAGCAAAAATTCAGTTAGTAAATAGAATTGAACAAATTATTTTATAATAATAGTAACAAACATTTATACATTAGTATTTATGTGAAAGACACTGTTCTGCATGTCATACAAACATTAAATCAATCATTCTCACTAATTCCAATGATATCTTTAAGTAATGAAGCATCCCATGGCCTTTACGATAAATACCAGTTGCTAGTGTATGGACAAGATAAGAAGGATTTTAGAGTGCTAGAGTTTAGGACATAAGAGGGTTGAGTATAAAGATGAAATAGTCAATTTTAAGGTCAGATTTACTATTCTCTTTTCTCCAAATTCACAAAAACATACCAAAGCTAGTAAGTTATGAAATTCTGTCCAAATATAGGTTCTGATTTATTAGCTAAAAATCTTATGCTTTCTTTTAAAGTTTATTGGTTTCTCCATAAATATTATTCCAGAGCCATTCCTAAATACCTCAATTTAAAAACATCAACAAAAAGCCAAATAAATCTTTTGTGTACACCATAGTTTTATGAATGGAAAAGTTATACATAATAAATATTTTAAAGTAGGTTATAAACAGCATTCCAATTAAAACAGCTCATTTATAAATTTTATTTTATATTAAAATGTTTGGATTTAGATATACTTTCACATTACAGAAGAGATTTCTCTAATATATTAATGTACCAAGTTTATAAAGTTGATATGAATTCAGAAGTATAATGATTTGAGCCATTTTAAAAGATTTCTGTATTAGGTTAATTATATGAAAACTTACCTGAATTTTTAGTGTCATGTACTACTTAAATTATAAATGAATCTTTAAATCTTCATTTAACAAATAAAAGCTCCACTGACTTATTTTCAAAGTTTATCAGTATGTGAAAGGTGTATGGAAACTTGATGTACTAGCTTAGTAACTTTTCTGTCCGAAATTATTCTCAAAATAAAAGTTAAAAGAAAAAAAGTAACCAAAGTTTATTCTGTATGTAGTCAAGTAACTGAAAATCTAGGGTGAAAAAAAAAAAAAAAGAAAATCTAGGGTGTTCAATGAGGCAATGGTATTTACATTAATACTCATCAGTGATTTTCCTATTAACTAGGCTACTAAAAATAAATATAGTTTTCTATTGAGAAATAAAAGATAAATCATTTTCTCTCTTTTCCATCTTCCAACACACATGAGCCAGAACATAAAGATTTTTAAGAAATGAACTGTGGAGCATATAATGGTATTAACACTTTGGACTTAAGTTCAGTAGGTTCTTTTAAAGTAAAACTCCTTCTACTTTATGATTAGCAATTCCACTTCTGAAGAAAATTGTCCAAATAAAAAAAAGTATGCCCAAAAAAGACTTTAAAAAAAAAAGTTCACAGCAGCTTCATTCATGATAGCTTCAAAATGGAAACAACCTAAATGTCCACTGACAGGTGAATGAATGCACAAACAGTGGTATATTCATACCCAGCAACAGTAAGGAATGAACTACGTATACAACAAAATGGATGAATATATAATGCTGAGTGAAAGAAGCTAGACACAAAAAAGTATATACTGTACAGTTCTGTTTTTCAATCCAGTAAGGGCAAAACTAAGCTATGGTGACAGAAATGAAAAAGTGTTTGCTTCTTGAGGGTTAGTGGTCGAGATGGATAAAAGGGGCATAAGGAAACTGTAGGGTGACTGCACTGTGCTGTATCTTGTTTGAGTATATACAGTAATATATATTACAAAAATAATTCATGTAAACTGTAGTTCAGTTGAAATAAATATACTTCTATTAAAAATATTTTTTTTTCTAAGGTACAAGAACAAAAATCAAGAAAGAGTTTTTAACACTTAACATTTACAGATTTTCAGAATGCTTACCTCTCTAAGAGCTGATCATGTTTTTCTAAAGCATCCTTTTCAGCCATCACTGCTCGGTCCTTTTCAGCCATAGCATTGTCCCTTGCTTCTCGGAGATTTCTAAAATTTAAACATATATCCAATTGTTCCAAATACAAAGCATCTTCTAAAGATTCATATATGTGCTTGCTTAGAGTTGGACTATCTGATAATCTTAAGAACACACTGGAGGTTGGTGATCCAAGGTGTATTATATACATTTACCTGGCTTGGTATTTTCTGTAGCAGCACAGTAATGAAGGTGCAAACATGGTCTATCTCTAAATGTCACATTATCCTTCTCTATAACTTATCTCCACATGGGTTGAAGGTAGGTTGAAGGTAACTTGTTTAACCTTTACCATAATCTAGTGAGGTAGGTAGGATTACTCACACTAGTATCCACAAGAAAAGAGGTCTTGAGAAGGTAATACATGTTCTCTAAAACATTTTAAATGAAAAGTGTAATATAAAGATCCCAAGTGTCTTAATGGGAACAAAGTTTGGGATATGAGCAAGATGAAATGATGGCCCTTGGGATCCAATGAGAGAGGGATGGAAGAGAAGAGAACTCAGAAGGTTTGGACAAAGGACATGAAGTCCTGATAAGATGACAAATATATAAATGTAAGTAGTGTACAAGTGGGATGGAAGACTAGAGAATGTTGTTAAAGAATGGTGTTGTGGAGGCTGAAGAGTACTTTCAGTGACATTGTTTTAGTTGATACTAAGATCTAAGGTGTGACCAGTAAAGTAGCTAAGTGAAGGAGAGATGAGATAAAGGTCAATATTCATAGAAGACTAAAGAAAGTATGAAGCCAGAGTATTAGATAAGTTATCCACTTACACTACTGATGGTACCAGGGACTGAAACTGAGAGAAATATACATTTAGTGACAGTTAAGGGTAATGTCCAAAAGGCAAAAAGTAACAAGGGTGACACAGCAAGTCATGAGCCTTTAAAGATCAAATCTCGTTTGTTTTTTAATCGAGATGGAAGTCTGGATCAAGAAAAATACCAACAGGGGTGCTTGGGTGGCTCAGTGGTTGAGCGTCAGCCTTTTGCTCGGGTCAAAATCCTGGGATCGAGTCCCGTATAGGGCTCCCAGTCAAGAGCTTGCTTCTCCCTCTGCCTATGTCTCTGCCTCTGTGTATCTCTCATGAATAAATAGATAAAATCTTTAAAAAAGAAAAATACCAACAGGAAGCTTCTTTCAGAGCCACTTAATTTTATTTATTCATGACAGACACACAGAGAGAGGGGCAGAGACATAGGCAAAGAGAGAAGCAGGCTCCATGCAGGGAGCCTGATGTGGGACTGGATCTTGGGACTCCAGGATCATGCCCTGAGCTGAAGGCAGACGCTCAACTACTGAGTCTTCCAGGCATCCCTTTTTGTTTTGTTTTTGGTTTTTTTTGAGAGCCACTTAAATTTTTTAAAAAATCCTCTTCTCTAACATAGTTGTAAATGAATGTAAAGTGTAACATAAATGATTTTGCTTAATTCCTACAAATCCCTGTTTTATAGTGGAGTAAACTGAAGTTGAAGAACTTAAGTACCTAGTTCAAAGTCACAGCCTGTGTTAAAGCCATAATTTGAGCTCAACTGTCTAACTGCAAAGCAAGTGGTTTTTTTTAACATCATATCACTGTATCTCCCATAAAGAATGGATTGGGTATCAGAGTTTTGTGTTTATTATTCATGGAGAATGTCAGTAGAAAGTCATGAAAACCCACATCATTTAAATAAATCTATGTAATAACTATTGGATAGAAATGCTTACTTGCTGTGTCAGTATGAAATGTCATCTTTTACACTGTGATGCTAATAATAAAGCTAAAATTTATAAACATATCAACCAATGGAGATTCATCAATTTGTTTATGAAACAATAAATAGAAGTTTAAAAGAACTATAGTAAACATAACTTATTAAAAAGAAAACAGCTTTTGTATACTATTATCTAAGCGGAAGTTCATTTTAAAATAGGTATCACAAAATGTCATGTCATTATTTTCTGACATCATCCTGATTGCAAGGGGCTTCAAAAATATTCTATCAAACTAAATGAAACATGAAAATGTACTTTTATATACAGAATTAAATTCTTTAAGCCTATTAAACACTTATATATTTTTCATTCCTAGATGGTCTATACATTTCAGTCAGTAAATCACCACAAACTGGTTTTCGTTTTTCAAAGATAGCTTCATTATTCTGTAAGTTATTTCAATAGCAAAATTCCAAGTAGACTGCAATTATAGTACTATCAATCAATGCTTACTTAGTAGGTAGAAAAGCTTCAGTCCCTAACTGTATTTCCTTTCTTGGAATAATGGGCATTAGAAATAAAAGTAAGTCATAGAGAATGAAATGAAACCCAGAATAAGCTAACAGTAGGGCTTGTGAGTGGAGATATGATTAGAAGGTTCTAATGCATTCACCATGCTACAATCTGTATCATCCAGCTAACTAGAATTTATATTTATATTAAGGCATAAACAAAATTCCAAGATCACAAAGGAGAAGAGTTGATTATTTTTTAATCGGAGGAAAAAAGCTGAGTGAATGAAGGGAAGATATATAAGCTGGACCTCAAAGGGCAAATAAGTAAAGGCAATTCAAAGAAAGAAAAAAAAGAATCGAAGGAAGTGCTAGAGGTTGAGGCTTCTACCAACAGGTCCTTTCATGGATGTCTACTGGTAAGATTTCTGTGTGAACCTAATCTCTTTATCAGTTACCATACCTTCCACATCTTTTTTTTTTTTTCAATTCCTTTTAACATAAAGATGGAAATACTTCCTTTAATATTATCAATTGGCCTTTAAGGTTTCAAATTAAGTCTGAGATAAACTGAATATATTCCACTGAAAATTAACAGTAGTAACAAACATATAGAGTGCCTGCTGTATGCTAGGAACTATTTTAGGCATTGTGTATATAATAGTTCATTTAATGTTCACAACAACCCCACAAAGTAGGGGTTATCCATAATTGAATGTTATCTCCATTTTACAAAGAAGAAGACTCAAACACAGAGAAGTTAAGTATTTATCTAAGGCCACAAGTACTTACTAGCTACGGAGCCTAAACCATCTGGTTCTAGAGTCCCTGCTCCTCATCAAACTATGCTGCTTTTCTTAAGATTCCCTTTGTTTCAGTTTTCTCCTTGAGACATTCTGTCATTATAAGATTTATATGGTCATCTCATAGAACAAATGTTAAATCAAAAATAAGCCTTGAAAGAATTGTGACTACATCATGCATACAATTGTTTTTACAGTCCATGCTCCTTCAGACTAGAGTGGTTTGATAAAACACCAGATGGATTATATTCTGGCCACAGACGAAACCCAAACTTTTTAAAATCAATTTTTAAATGTTAAATGCATTAGAAAATGTAACAACATAAAATTATGGAAGAGCAAGAATTCTAATGTTTTTCAAAAGAATAAACTTGAAAAATTGATAGAGACTATCTGCAGCATGTACAAGCTAATGTTTTAAAAGTCCAAGTTGAATATATAATCAAATATACTTATAATAACATGGAAAAATTATAATAATAGAGAATGATGTTCAGAGTTGGCCAACTGGACATCATTTAAATCTAAAATTAAGATATTTCACCCTTAAAAATGCTTTTAAAAAGCTAACATTTGAGGGGTCCCAGGGTGGCTCAGTCAATTAAGTGACGGACTCTTGAATTTGGCTCAGGTCATGATCTCAGGGTCAAGAGATTGAGCCCCATGTTGGTGTACACTGAGTTGGCTTGTCTGTCTCCCTCTGTTCCTCCCCCCGCTCATGCTCGCTCTCTCTCTGTTATAAATAAATAAATAAATAAATAAATAAATAAATAAATAAATAAATAAATTTCTTTAAAAAGCTAACATTTTGATTTCAAAACTGCCTTTCATCATTCTTTCACATTGTTTCCTACAAACTCCATCCTTCATATATACATACTTATCTCTCCCATCCATCCTGTATTTGTCTGTGGGAGGTGGAAAGATGCAGAAAAGGGAAAATAAATCTGATCAATCCTAAGTAAGTGCAAAAGTAGAGTGTCCTAGTATATAACTTGTGTCCAAATAATGTATTTTTCAACTTGAGCCCTTTTTATGAGTGAAAGAGGATACTGTTAATAATCATGCTAAAAAAATAATAATCATGCTAATAAAATAGGCATAAACCAGGACTTACAGGGACAAATAACTGGAGATATTGTCATTTAAATTATAACATTCAAATAAGAAACCTAAAGTTTTATTTCTCTAAAAGGATCTTAATACTACAATAAAATAGATATATTTAATAGGCAAACTAATGTACCTGTGCAGAGATAACCTCAAGTATGTCAAGTTTATCCAGAAATAGCTCACAACCAAAGCCTGAAACCTCAGTACAGAATGTAACAATAGATTTCTGTACATGGAATGTATCTTCCTCTACCTAGAAGATAAATTTCATAGTACCAATATACCACATTTAAATTTATACCTGAAAAGTGGCAAGAAAATGTTGGAAGAATGAGAAAAAGCTTAGGAACCTTTGAAATTCTAATAGAAACAAATCAGAGTTTGGGAATGCCAAGGGCATGCTTAACCTGAATAAACATCACTAATAACTCAAAACTTGAAATACCATGAATAAATAGTGAAAAACTATGGTTATCAGAAGAGCACAGTAGGCACAGCTAAGCAACCTGTTCTCCTTCTGCCTCCATGTAAACATATTTTTGGCTAATAAAAGTGAATACATTTTTTTCCAGTTGGAACAAAAAGGGACTAAAACAGGCTGTTTATATGACAAACTTATTTATAGGGTAAGTGTTTGAATTAATCACTTCTACCTCCAGATTATTCTCCTGGACAACTCATTTCCATACCTGATGCCTTTGTTTTTAAGATGACATAAACATCAAGGATTAAAGTGGACTATCTGCTGTTTATAATCAAATGACCAATAACTGTTCCTTTAATTAACATAGTCGTTGAAAAGTGAATGAATAAGACATAACAAAAAAGGCAAAGCGGAAATTTTAGGTAATATGATTTCCTGGGAGAAGCTATGCATTTTC